AAGAAAAATTACTTTTACAGGAAACGGAAACTAAGTTGACAAGTACGAATGTCAAAAAAGAAAAGTCAAATTTTGGCGTATGACAACCAAGTGGGAGAATTTGAATAAACTAATAAAGAAAACATTTAATAAGATGCGAGTGGGCAAAAACTAATGGAAACAGAGAAGAAAATCTAAATTGGGAGAGTTAATTAATTTGTAGTAAGTAACTGATTGAAGATCAAATGAGTGGGGGTATAAGTCTGAAATTAATTTAAATAAGCGCAGAGAACGTTGGGGTACTAATAAATTGAATTTGTGCATTCAGAGAGCAGGAGGGGCCAGATTTAATATTTTTTAAAATTTCCAGGTTCTCAAAGTTATTCAGAAGGAATTTATTAGAAGTCATATGCAAAATGTCGAAGCCAATGCTAGAATCAAAATCGTGACCAGTGTCTAACAAATGAGCAGCAAAGTGAGAAAAACCAGTAGTGTTAGAGTTAAGACAGCGTGTGTGCTCTTTCAGGCGTATTTTAAAATTACGAAAGGTCCTTCCCACATATGAGCATGGACAGTTCAAACAAGTTAGTTTGTAAACACCAGACTGATCCATAGGATCAATCTTATCCTTATTCCTAACAAATAGGCTACTGATGGAGTTGGACGTTCTAAAACTAATTCTGAAGGAATCTTTGAACAAGTTGGCTATACGATATGAGAATTTTCCAATAAAAGTAAGTGAAACATACTTACGATTATCTGCTTCAATATTGGGAAGGGGGTCAATTATGTAACTATTGTTCTGATTACGTTTATTCTGTTTTCTATGAAGAATTTTATCTATTAAGTTCTGATCATATTGTGACTATTAGCAATTTGTTTGATAAGATTGAGTTCTTTATTAAAGTTATCTACTGATAGAGGTACTTTCAGAAGACGTTCCAAGTAACAATTAAAAGCTGCTAACTTATGTGTAACTGGGTGATTGGATAAATTATCAATAACAACCCCTGTGTGAGTAGGTTTTCTAAATATGTTAAATTCCAACTTAAGATCTGTACAATGGGATATTGTTGAATCAAGGAAGTTGATAGATTTGTTGTTTTCTATCTCTAATGTAAATTTGATGTTTCTATGTATGGTGTTTATATAATTTAGGAAGTTATTTTACTTATCCAGATCACCAGTAAAAATTTCATTATTCTTTTTTCTCTTTAATAATGAAATTTTTACACAGACAACAGGATTAGCTATGGGTTCGCCTTTATCTCCTATACTTGCAGCCATCTTTATTTTGAGAATAACAATATATTAAACAACAATCCTTTTTGCTCAGCTATTAAATTCTATCATAGATATGTTGATGACATACTGATACTATGGACTGGTGATCTGGATAAGTAAAATAACTTCCTTAATTATATAAACACCATACATAGTAACATCAAATTTACATTAGAGATAGAAAACAACAAATCTATCAAGTTCCTTGATTTAACATATTTAGAAAACCTACTCACACAGGGGTTGTTACTGATAATTTATCCAATCACCCAGTTACACATAAGTTAGCAGCTTTTAATTGTTACTTGGAACGTCTTTTGAAAATACCTCTATCAGTAGATAACTTTAATAAAGAACTCAATGTTATCAAACAAATTGCTAATAGTCACAATTATGATCAGAACTTAATAGATAAAATGCTTCATAGAAAACAGAATAAACGTAATCAGAACAATAGTTACATAATTGACCCCCTTCCCAATATTGAAGCAGATAATCGTAAGTATGTTTCACTTACTTTTATTGGAAAATTCTCATATCGTATAGCCAACTTGTTCAAAGATTCCTTCAGAATTAGTTTTAGAACGTCCAACTCCATCAGTAGCTTATTTGTTAGGAATAAGGATAAGATTGATCCTATGGATCAGTCTGGTGTTTACAAACTAACTTGTTTGAACTGTCCATGCTCATATGTGGGAAGGACCTTTCGTAATTTTAAAATACGCCTGAAAGAGCACACACGCTGTCTTAACACTAACACTACTGGTTTTTCTCACTTTGCTGCTCATTTGTTAGACACTGGTCACGATTTTGATTCTAGCATTGGCTTCGACATTTTGCATATGACTTCTAATAAATTCCTTCTGAATAACTTTGAAAACCTGGAAATTTAAAAAAATATTAAATCTGGCCCCTCCTGCTCTCTGAATGCACAAATTCAATTTATTAGTACCCCAACGTTCTCTGCGCTTATTTAAATTAATTTCAGACTTATACCCCCACTCATTTGATCTTCAATCAGTTACTTACCACAAATTAATTAACTCTCCCAATTTAGATTTTCTTCTCTGTTTCCATTAATTTTTGCCCACTTGCATCTTATTAAATGTTTTCTTTATTCGTTTATTCAAATTCTCCCACTTGGTTGTCATACGCCAAAATTTGACTTTTCTTTTTTGACATTCGTACTTGTCAACTTAGTCTCCGTTTCCTGTAAAAGTAATTTTTCTTTTGATTATCTGCTTCAAATTTTCCCTTTTACATTTGAATTTTCATATTTTCTTGTTCAGTGTTCTAATTTTCTTGTTAGTATTTTTTGCTTTCTCATTTCCCAGTTTAATATTTTTACTTTCAATAAATTTTGTCACCGCCACCTATACTCACTTTCAGTAAATAACACCTTTGTGAGTACACTATTTATCCGCTAAATTAAAAATTTACAGTTTACTACATTGATTCGTTAAAAATCTAGATAGATGTCTTGAGAGTCTGATAATTTTACTTTTTACTTTTTTACTTTTTACTTTCATTAATTGACGTTATATCCTTAAAAATTTTAAACTGTTTGTGCTTGTAAAAACTATTTTGTGTTGTTTAGTTAATAATTGTCTTACATGTGTTTTAATTAATTTATTCAAACAGACATCTCGCGGTTTAACCTAACCTAAAATATTTTTTCAAAAATACTATTGTATTACAAATGACTTTTTTAACTCGTTTTGTTAAAATTTATGTAGCGCTTCCTTTATGGAAATAGTCAAGGTGTGTCAAGGTTATTGTTTAACTTTCTTTTGTGTTTTTTCTGTTATTTTGTATATGTTAAAGTCCGTTCATGCTTTTATAATTGTTTTTTATTACAACTGACTCCTTGACATTCCATTTAGGTGTGCCTAATGATGAAGTGACAACTTCGAAACCGGTCGCCAATTAAATTGACTTGTGAGAAATAAAGGACCTTTTCTTTAACCCCTTACACTTAATTAATTATTCTGCTTAACCATCTAGTTTCAGAAAATGGTTTTAAAGTTAAATTGGAAATATGTTCTTCTAAAACAGTCCAACGAAAGAAATAAAATGTAAAAGAAAAATAAGTTCTTTGACTTAATTTTTATTTCTACACAATAATCAATATAATAACTATAATGATACATTTTTTACCTTTTCAGTCATTTTAGGTGCATGAAAACTCTTCGTCGCTCCACATTTTTTTAAAAATAAGTGGGAGTTACCTATCTGCATCATTCACTATTATTAAAATAATTGCAGCTTTGTCTATCCTACATTTAAAAGCAGACGAGATGGTTTCTTACAAGCATTAAACACAACAAAAAGCAAGAAAAGTCAAAGGGCTTTACTAAAAAAACCTACATTATTGAAAAAAAAAGGGTTTTCTACAGGAAGTTTTTATTAAAAAGTAGTTATAAATAATTTTATAGAAGAAAACAAGGACCTGTTGGACTTCAGAAGAAACATGCAATGTATATTTATATCAGAAATAAAAGATATTTTGTGAGTTTCTAGGATGTATGAACAGTACAATTTACTTAGAAAAAAACAAAAGAAAAAAAAAACAAAGTTTTATTATAATAATCTATAAATATACCAAATTAGAGAAAAACAATTTTACCTATTGTGTCTATATACATACAATACACGGAGGAGATATTACATATGCATGGAGTACTTAAATAAATCATCGAAAAGCCCATATCTTAGATTTATTTCAGCAAAGCACTTTTGTAAAGTTAAAATCCCTAGCAAGGGATACTTTAGAGTATTTCTGAGGTAAAGATAGCACCTTTTACTCAAATATCTTCTCATGAATGCTTTAAAAACTTCTCAACTCTAAACGGCCCTTGTTTTCTTCTTTAAAATGATTTGTAACTATGTACTTTTTACTAAAAACTTCCTGTAGCAAACCCTTTTTTCAAAAATATATGTTCTTTTAGTAAAGCCCTTTGACTTTTTTGTTCTCTGTTGTTTTTGTTTGTAAGAAACCAACTCATCTGCTTTAAAATATAGGGTGGACAAGGCTGCAATTAAATTAAAAATAGTCAATGATATATGCAGAATAATTAAAATCTTACTATTAGTCTTTAATTTTTTTAGGCTCTCTTTATTTATTCTAACGGTTATTGTGTGTAAACAGTAAAAATTGTTTGCCAACAGCAAAACTATGGCTTATCAATATTTCAAAATATTTCAGGATATAAACAAAGTGTAATCCGAATTTAGCAAGGAGGTTGTACCCTAATCCAAAATGTTTAAAATAAACTATTCACACAATAATATTTCTTTTTAAAATTCAAATAAAAAGTTATTTATTTGAAATTTGATGGAAATCATTACATGATTTTTTCATGCCGTTTTGTAGCTTGTCTTTTAAAAAATCAAAAACCGATTTTATAAAAACTCCAACACAGGTGTATAGTCCAAAAATAAAAACATAAACAACACTAAATATTTATAAAATATTAGATTTAAAAAAAAAAACGAATGTACGAACTGCAGCACAATATGTTCTGTTAACTCGATTTTTAATTCCGTGGGATCACAACCTTCCTTAGCTACGAACGGTGGGGTCTGCCTACTTGGTTATTTAAAAATCTAGATTTCTATTGGTCAATTTTTCAGTTTCATAATGAAAACCAGTATTATTATAATGAGTATAATTATGAAACTGAAAATTAGCATTTAATTAACAATTTATAGTATAGGAGTAGAAAAAATATACTTACATCTACATTCACTCCTTCGACTTCATACCAATTCGATTGCGGCCTCTCCTTGGGCACGAACCTGTAGAACTCTTCGTGATCTTTGTACCATTTAACTGAATACAGGGTATCGTTGCCCAAATCGTAATCGCATTGCAGCATAGCTGTTTCTCCTGGCACCCTATATTGGGGAACATTTACCCTCACCCACTTTATGCCGGAGCTTATCGAGGATGCTACTGTAACAAAATGAATTGTTTTAGTTTTTAATAGCGCGCTGAGAATGTTATTTTTCCATACCAGTGTGGAAAAGTAAAATAATATCAGTTTAATGATATATTAGTAATTAAAGATAATCAATTCACATTAATTGCAAAAGTTTTTAAATTTTATTGGAATATATCTTAAATTTAAATAATTATAAATTTAATTTTGCCATTTTTTCTGAGGTCCAGAACATATTAATAGTTGCAAAAATTTTAAATTTATTATAACTTTGTAATAAAAATTGCAAAAGTGCTGCAAACTTGAACTCATATCAATTTGGATGTTTTCAATATTATATCAGATTTGCAAAGTCTGCAACATAATTTTTTTTTGTAGAATAACGTTAATTTATATTGTAGTTGAAAAACATGAAAAAGTGCTGCATACCGATGACATAATACACATTTTTGAAACAGTTATTCCAAAAATTAGGTCTTGAACCTACGAAAATTTAAAATCTAAGTACGACTCGATGGAGCTGTCGTTTCCAAAATTGTGACAATCTAATTACATATTTTAATGCTATCAAACAATGCCTAGAACAAGACATATGTGGCGCCAAAATTCACGACTCAGTTAAATCTATCTGTATATTTAAAGCCGGCACTTTTAAGTTTCTCAAAGGTACTATAAAATTACTGCAATACTGTAATAAAGTTACAAAAACAAAAGCTAGTCTAGCTTTAATATTTAATAATTGCTACAATAACTTCGAGAAACTTTTTACAGATGCATATAAAAGTGACGTAGGTGTTGGCACTGCATTAGTTACACCTTTATATACTTTTAAATTTAAGTTCACTCCAACGACCAGTGTCTTCACCGCAGAACTTTATGCCTTATACAAAGCCATTCACCATATAAACTCCTCTAATTATGTCTGCATTCTAGCACCTTAAGTTCCATAGAAAGAGTTAAACAAATATATCTCCAAAACCAAATCGCAATAATGATCAAGTTTGAACTACTGTAGGCTCAACAATACTTTAGGATTGTCAGTATCATCTGTATATCATCCCATGTCGGCATTGATGGGACCGAGAAAGCTAATCTTTGTGCAAGTAGTGCGATAACGAGCGCGGAATCTGAAATAGTGATCGGGAGTTAAAGGCTATTTCAAAAGTAACTATTTGTGTGAGTGGGCTCGAGAATGGGAAAATGCTCAATCTAAATTACGGTCTATAAAAGAAAACGTATTGCCTTGAAAGCCTGTTACTAATATTCGGAAAGTGCAGACTATTCTTACCCGCTTACGATTGGGTCACGCTATACTCACTCATTCATATCTTCTGAGTAACAGTAATTCTCCACGATGTGAAGAATGTGATGTTATACAAAATGTAAACCACTTTTTATTGGACTACCCTCAATTTAATATGCACCGCACTACCTATTAATCCCAAATGATAAAAATGTATTATTATGATTAAAAACTGTTCGTGGAAAGATCTTATTACATTCTTTAAAACCATAAAATCTAGTCTTTTTTATGTATAATGAATGTACTTTTTTGTTTATATTTGTACCGTCACTAATCACTTTTTGGTGAATGCGACTCATTTTTGAAATAAACAGAAAAACATGATTTGAGTTATAAGTGCTTTGGTTTCTTGCAACCGGATGGTCCAGGATTGTCATAAACAAATTGATCGATTCTCAAAATTGGATATTAGCCACTCATCTGAATTCAAAAAGTAACACGTAGTGGTTTTTGCTTTCTATTTGTAGTTGGGTACAGGAGGGGGGGAGGTAAACAACATGTAGTATGTCGCGGTTGTGAGAGTAGTGAATCTGTTGAATTCAAAGTAATGCTTACTTATAGATGGATTTTTTATTTTTTTACTGACAATACAGCAATATGCTTCTAGACGTCTATACCAATAAACAATCCCTTTTCAAGCATTTTTTGTTGTCCGGTTTTACTATTTTCAGTGTGTTGTTTCCCTAAATCGGTAGTAGCAAAATCGGATGATAGAAAATGCTTATAAAGGGGTATTTTTATTGCATGTAGACGTCTAGAAGCAAATTATTTTATTGTCAATAAGAAACCAAAAAATCCACCGATATGCAACATTATTTTGAATTTGACAGCACGAGAGCTACCACCACTAAGAGAGAGTACATGTTGTTCACCCCCTTTCTTATACCCAACGACAAATAGCAAAAACACGACAAAAAACAGGACATGCCACTTTTTGCAGTCAGATGAGAGCAGAGATAACGGGGATATAACCATTCATTGATAAAATATAATATTCACTATTCCAAGATAATTCGACAATCGGTACGCTCTGTTTGTAGGGACGGGGCGAGGCGACGAAAGGTAAGAAGTAAGAGAAGGGATTAAGAGAAGAATTTTAAGCAGATTTAACTTATTTTTATTAATGAATAAATGTGTAAGCAGCTCTTAGAATATGTCTTATTCAGGACCGCACGATAATTGTTAGTAGTTACATCTCCTCGTTATCTCTGGATAAGAGACTATATATTTTTATGTAAATTGGATATTGACGACGCTCTTGAGTTAATTTATTATTCTCGGCTTATATTGATTTTTTTTGTCTCGAAGGTAGTAGTTTATATGTTGGCCAATTATTTAATAAATAACGAAAACAAGAATTTATTTAAATATTTTGCGTGATTGGTATAAGGTTGCAAATTGTATATCGCTTATGAATATATTTTTTATTTGTTCTATACTTTTCCATTAATTTTGTACTAAAAAATTTGTTACAGTTAATTTACACTCATTTGCGTTAAACCTGGAGCGTTGTAAATTTGTATTTACTTACAGGAAGGTATATAAATAGCTCTGAAGAATTTGCAGTTTTTTATCAGTAAGTGCGAATTGTCGAGGTTGAAAATTTACCAGGCTGTTAAGAAAAATAATAATAACATTTTCAACCAATTTTCAAAGCTTTTGCATTTTTTTTTTTTGACAAAATTACAAGAAAATTTTTTAGCAGCACTTTCTCAAAATTATATACCAAAGAACCAGTTTAATAGATATTCAGTTCCGGACCTTGAAAAAGATTGCAAAATATATATTTAATGTTATTCTTTCAAAGTTTAAAAACTTTGTAATTAATGTGATTTTCAAAGTAGGATATCTTTATTGCCGGGCCTATAAGGACGAAAGGTGAATTGTTGTATGTGCTTTTAAAAAAAGGAGGAATCCAAACTAAAGCCTCTAACAAAGAAAAGTTCATTACGGTAACTAGATTTGGCAAATAACCGTCATCAGCTAAAATAAATTTTAATTTAACTAGACATTTAAATTATAATTTTATTTATAGTCACAAATATCTTCATGGTCCTTCCAGCCGGACTGAAATATTTTCTCTTTTCCTAATACAACCTGTCAAGGTAATCAAACAATAATAAAAGTTTAGCCATCAAAGACAACAGCTATAACTTCCATTTATTTTATACACTGTATCTTTATGGTGGAAACTAGCTGATTTTACAGGCAATTCAAAATGTCTATTGAGTTTTTTCATCCTATTTACGAGACAAGGGTATGCTTGGCGCTTTTGTGATTTATATTCGTACCAAATAAAGACCGAGTCGAATTTTTTTCATAAGATATAACTAAAATATCCTTTCTAAAGTGGATTGTAAACGCTTTACAATGCAAACAGCACTGAAATCGTTTTTATATAAAGATTTATGCTTTTCATTTGTACAAAGAACGAGAAAAAATACTTTTCTTTAAACGTTTGTCCGTAAAATAGGTATAGAATACAGAAGAGAGTTCGTATTGATAATCTTGTCGCAAATCTAAAATTGTCTGTTAAAGCAGCTGTGCTCGTAATAAAAATTTATTTCCAGATTTTTATGAGGCACTAAAACCGGCATTTTTCTCTACAAACGAGGTAATATTTCTTGTCTTAACGAAACTGCAATATAAATAACAACATTTTACTGTTTATAAATGGTCGTTTTGTTTGAAAAGATGAATAAAAGATTGGATTCTAATAGGCAATAGATAGAACTTCAAAAAAAGTTTAACCTTCAATATTTCTGAGAATAAAAAAGAAGTCAGATAAGTATGAAACTGTAACGTCATTAACTGTCAATATAGGCGCAAACCCACATACTTTGATTACTATACGAAGCAAGAGAGAGGTCCGACACGCGCAACATAGGGCGCGGCCAGTTTGATTCCTGTAACACAGTTTACAGCTAAAGAATCAGATCACTCACTCTGCGTCGGCACTTTGGATCTCAATGTTTCAGTTTATACACTGTGTAACTCGGATAATACAATATATGACAACCGCCTATAATAAAACAGCAGTCTTCTGCGTATCCTGAATTTGTATCCCTGGAGTGGATGTTATTTTGGAACTTTCAACTGGTCCGAGTGAGCTAACTGATTCTTTAGCAATAAACTGTGACTTCAAAAATAATATTCACTGACACTGACAGCAGCATGCAAAATATCAGATGCGTTTTAATAATCCGCTTCTGCTTCCGGAATTGTCGGTTTAGTCGTTTTAACCTGTCAGATTAAAACAAGAAAACTGACAATTCCGAAGCAGAAGCGGATGATTAAAACGCACCTATTAAAAATATAGCGTCAAGATGTAGGCAACACGTAATAAAGGTTCAAAATGGCGGAGTTTTCTATCTCCTTTTAAAAAGCACTCAAAAAGCTGTGCAGTGCGACCATTCTCCGTATAGTAAAATAAAATCAAAGTATATGCGCAAACCACATACTTTGATTACTATACGGGGCAAGAGAGAGGTCCGACACGCCCAACATAGGGCGCGGCCATTTTGATTCCTATGACACAGTTTACAGCTAAAGAATCAGATCGCTCACTCTGCGTCGCCACTTTTGATCTCAATGTTCCAGTTTATACACTGTGTAACTCGGATAATACAATATATGACAACCGCCTATAATAAAACAGCAGTCTTCTGCGTATCCTGAATTTGTATCCCTGGAGTGGATGTTATTTTGGAACTTTCAACTGGTCCGAGTGAGCTAACTGATTCTTTGGCAATAAACTGTGACTTCAAAAATAATATTCACTGACACTGACAGCAGTAAGCAAAATATCAGGTGCGTTTTAATCATCCGCTTCTGCTTCCGGAATTGTCGGTTTAATCGTTTTAACCTGTCAGAAAATATTGCGCCAATATGTAGGCAACACGTAATAAGGGTTCAAAATGGCGGAGTTTTCTATCTCCTTTTAAAAGGCACTCAGAAAGCTGCGCAGTGCGACCATTCTCCGTATAGTAAAAGAAAATCAAAGTATGTGGCGCAAACCGTAGAAAATGCTCAAACTGTCTTCTGTCCACGTCAAGGTCAGGTCAAGTGTCAAAGTTAAATGTCAATTTCATTCAATTGTTTAAGAGATGTATGATAAAAGTAGTGGGTAAATGTTTTAAGTCTAGCATTGTGAAATGGGGAGAATTAAATGAATTTAAGAGGGGAAAAGAAAGTTGGTTTATTGGAGGGATAATCTGAAGAAGTGAGAAAGATAGAAAAAGAGGATATGGATAAACAAGCATTTAAACATACATTAATAGAAGAAGACCAAGAGAAAGAAAAATTTTAATGTTGATAACAGATAATTAACACAATGTAGGGAATTGGAAATGAAATAAAGAAAGATAGACAACAAGTAATAAAGTGGATGAAAATAGAAGAGAAGATAAATTTAAGAAATTTAGGAGAGAAAACGAACAAGAAATTAAGAGATTTTGAAGAGAAGACAAACAAGAAATAAAGAAATTTATAAGAGAAAACCAAGACGAGATGATGAGAAAAATGGACGAGATAATAAACGAAATGAAAGAGAAAATTAAAAAAAACTGGTGAGTGTATAAAATAATTTTAAGAAAACAAAGTAAAGGAAATAAAATAAATTTCAACTATATGAAAATAAAGGAAAGGAAAATGAAAGTGTAGGAATAAAGAAGAAATAACTAGAATAGAATAAAGATATACGAGTATATTGCTTGGTATTCCATAATATACTCCTCAGAGTTTATCAGACCCACACCAGTTTTTTTCAGAATCAATAGGCTTCATCCCTTTATAAATATTGATTTTTTCTAAAGATTTTAATCGTTTTTTGTTCCTGAGAAATGATTTTTTAATATTTCAACCTCTTTTAGTCCTCACTTTTATTTAGATTTTTTTCAGAATAAAAAGGTTTTGTTTTAGTATAGGGCTTGATTTTTACTAAAAATTTCTTGTTGATGTCGCTTTTCGTTTTTGATTTATGATTTTTTTTTCAGTCCCCTTAAACCTCCTCTTTTAATTTCAAAAGCCTCAGCCAAAATTTAATTTATTTGTTGATACTCGGTGTTTCTAAAATGTAATATTCTGATAATAAATGATGATGAATACCCTTTTTCTGTAAAATATACCTGGTGATTTCATATAAGTTTGGTTATGTTTACTTTTAATTAATGATATATCACAATCGTACATTGGTGACCAAAATTTTGACCCATAGTCTAATGATAAACGTATCAAAGAAGAGTTTTTAAAACTGTAATATAAAAATTTTTGATATTTTTCATATTAATATTAAGGGTTTAAAAAGACTTAAATGCTCAAGGTTTTAAGAATCTAATCATGTTTCAGATTAAATTCAATTAACAATAATTGTGCAGTACACAACGAAATTAAAATCCTTTGTTCGGAAGCAGAAGGGCTAACGGTCGTCGCGAAAAAAGGGCTAAGTACGACGCCATGAAGAAATTAACTTACCCCAGATGTTACAAGCGCATACTAGCAACCAGAGATAGTTCTCCATTTGTGGAAATGATGCAGGAAAATCCGCGTTAGGCCAATTAAAATGGAATAATCTCAAAAAACGTTCATCGCCGACATTTGTGTCGAGCTGCAAAAGTTTCCTTTTTAATGAGTCCGGTGACACGTGTCAGGGATGAGGGGGCCATTTGCGTTCTTGTGGTGCGGTGACGGCTTCGAATTTTTTTGCGTTTTCACTTTTTCTGCTAATTATGAGTGAAGGGTCGGAACCTCCGATGTCCTTGTTCGTCCCCTCGTCCTTATTCTAGAATAAAAAATTAGCTTTAATTGACGTTTTTAAACCAGCTAAAAAAAAGTTACATATATATTAATTAAACTATTTTTACATTATTTATGCTGTATTCTTTAAAAATTAACAATAATAAAGTAACAATAATAATAATAAAAAAAATATATTAATAATTGTAAATATATAAAAGTGGAAGACAGACTCGCGCATTAAGGGTTTTCCGCACTATTGTACAAGATTTATTACTATATAGATACTTTTTGAATACTTTATTAAAATAAAACAAAAAAAAAAACGTTTCTTCCTATAATTTTAATATATTTTTATATATATTTATATTTATTACAGCGGCAACAGAAATACACATCTTGTATAAATTTCAACTATCGGCCTTTTACGCATCATGAGATATATCCCGCTGACAAACAGATGGACGGAAAACGCAGGCAACAGGGTCCCGTTGGTTTCTCTTCGGGTACGGAACCCTAAAAAGGGAAACTGGACAATATATAGAACATTTTTAAAAAACTGCTAAATGTGCAGGCAGTAGATAATAAAACTTACGAACCTAAAGAAGAAAAGGTAGAAAATGAATACACACCAATAGTGGAAGGTCCAAATGAAATAAAGATAAGGAAAATAATAAAAAATATGAAGACAAAGTAATATGGGCTTAAATTATTTGTTAAAAACCAATTTCTAACAACTATCAGATATTTTTCCCTTTAATTTGTTTAAATCCGTGCTATTATTTAGGAATGATGTATCGTTTGCAAAATAAATATATTGTAACAGATGGATGAAATGGGAATGTCATTTAAATATAATATAGGTAGGATCTAATATGGATCCCTGTGGGACTTCCTGGTTTATATTGGATAAATCTGAAATAATATTATTGACACAAAATGCTTTTCTGTTCGCTAAATTAAATTTAAACAGGTTATAGGCATTTTTGTGAAATGCTTCAAACAGGTCACATAAAGTTAATGAGATAAAATGTTCATCCTCCATCCCAATAACTATGTCACTTTTAAATATTTTGGCGCCTTCTTGTATATATATATAGTACTTACATAAATAATAGTTTGAAGCTGTTACATATGTTTTTAAAATTTCCTGGTTTGCTGTAATATGCTCGTAGTTATTGAAACAAAAACTGTGTTTATATATTTTGCTGCAAACTTTTGGTTCCATTTTAAGTTCTCTTTCTTTTGATGGTTTCAAAGATTCAAAGAACCTCACTAGAACTTTTAAACAACCTCTATAAACTATATCCAAATGTATCTTCCTTTTAGGCCTAAAGATGGATGTCGAGTCGAAACCGGTTGTCTTTGTAAACATTATTAAGGTAATGAAAAAACGTTTTATGTGGTACTGATTTAGAGATTTATATTTTGGCTTACAATATTTATGATTTAAAAGATATTTCTCAGAACGACTATCTAAAATGTTTAAAAGATCTAGAAATAATGTTTAATGATTCCAATTCATGAGATATAAATACCTTGAACCTGGCAGACGATATATAATCCTATTTGGCCTTATTAAATAAAAAGTTCAATCAAGATTTTAAAATAAATAGCTTTGAAATTGCTCGAAATCTCAGCTTACTTTCCCAATAAGTGTGGCAAGTGAGGAAAAAAGTTTTTTCAAATTAAATTATTAAAAATCTGTTATGCTCTACAAGTGCCTTGACAACATTAGCCATTGAACATGAGCTAGCAGAAGCAATTGTTCTCAAAAGAGTTATCAAAAAATTCTCAGAATTAAAAGTGAGAAGAAAACAAAATATATTTTTAATCTCTATTTTGGACCCAAGAAAATTGATGAACTGGGGAAAGTAGTTTCATTCATAAAACTACACGTCTGATTTTGTTATTGAACTTTTGCTTTTTTGTAACAGTCGAAAAATAGTAGTTAAGAGGATCTAGCTTTTGTCACTACTAGCATTTTTATTCCTGTGGAAAGTGGATCGTCATTAAAAAAAAATGTTAATTTTGTATTTCTTTTTCAATAATTTTGAAAACAGATCAGATCGGCGCAAATTTTTTAAAACATTTCCCATGCAACCGATTTTTCGTCTCTTATATTAATCATAATATCAATACCAACAAACTGTATGTATTATTTGACTATTCCTCTAATGAATAATACAGTTAAAAATAAAGCTAGTTTAATTTATTTTTATCTCTCCATTTGTCAAAGTTATTCATGTTTTTAAATTTATGACGTAGCCAGAAGTAGACCAATAGGAACTAGCGTCACAAAATTGCCGGTTAGACGGTATACGAGAAGTAATATACGTTCGTTTGTGTCCGAAAACTAGGACAACGTGATGTCCGAAAACTGGAAAATTGTACTTCAATCAAATTTTGTTTAAAAACACAAGTTTAAGTTAAAAGAAAAATAAAAAATTAACAAATAATGCTTCTCAGACTATATACAGTGAGCCTTCCTTGAGAAAATAGGATTGGAAGGGTCGCTATAGGCATTGAGACATTTCCTTAGTGCAGTGGCGACAGAAGGGGACACAATAGATCTTTTAGGTCGCAGTGTATTAACACCCCATTATCAACATAACATATACAGTGAGCACCATAAGTCATAACTCATTACTGGAGTCTTGTTAGGAAAATTGCCGAGACAGGTCGATTTTTGATTTATACAATGTATATTTTTGTATGATTAGTTTACCCTTAATTTCATCCCTTACTGGAGGGGAGCAACCCTTTCGAAAAATTTAAATGGCATGGGGTGGTGAGTGATAGCTCATTTGAGAGGGGGTTTTATTCTATATTCAACCGTGCAAAAAAAATTTAAATTTGCTTCATAACGTGTTGATTTTTTAATGTTTAAAAATAACAAAACCTCACAAAATAGGAAAGCAACTAAAATAACAGTGACCTTCTAATGGCAAAAAGTCTTACTTCACGTCTGAACCAAAACCGAAATCATGCAGGGCCGAATTTTAATTCTAAGGATGAGTGCGCTACGTTAATTTCCGTTATTCTGAAACAACAATTAGTCGAGAATTAATGAAGCAATTTTTAAAATTTTTTACACGGTTGAATAGAGAATAAAACTCTTTTTCAAATGAGCTATCACTCACCACCCTATGCCATTTAAATTTTTCGAAAGGGTTGCTCCCCTCCAGTGAGGGATGGAATTAAGGGTAAACTATTCATACAAAATTGTACACTGTAAAAAACAAAAATCGACGTGTCTCAGCGATTTTCCTAACAAGACTCCAGTAATGAGTTAGATAGGGGGGGGGGGGTAAGACTTATGGTGCTCACTGGTATATAAGCAAATAAGGATACTTAGCTCAATAGAAAGACCAGTTTAATTGCAATTGTTATTTCAATCAAAAACTGGGCGAAAACCGGTGATGTCACCCTATGATAATTATTCACATTTATAATAAAAAATATTTATTAGTGTTGCTAGAAATCCGAAAAGAAGAAAATTACGGTGAGCCACAGTAGGACATACGGAAACGCTTAAAGCAACAGCTAAATTATTTTGAGGTTTGTTTATTTAAAATATTTTATTAAAATTTATTATACTTCAATTATCTACCATTGTAATAACAATGTTTTTTTGTAGATACCGTATGATTGTTGATTTTTTAAATGATGGATAAGCCTTTACATATTAAGAAGTGGGTAGTACCACGCAAATGTTTTTGAAGATCTTGTTAGTCACCACACAAGAGCCAGCCAGCTCACTGATTCAACCAAAAAAGGAAAAATAGACATAAAAAATGTCTTCTAAAAAATTGACTGGCAAAGAAAATCACCTTCTATTAGAGGCGTTTTTCGTCTCTATTTAATTAAAATACGCTGGATCTTTAAAATGCAGAAGCAATTTATGACATTGTCCCCTTCGGAAAATTAAAGATGAGCCTACTATAAATTTGAAGGTGTATAACCTAAAAACCCTTCTGCAAGAATATCCAGGATTGACCAACAGTGTTTTTAAAATCCTCAATGATATTTATAAGAAGGAAAGTGTAGCACATATACCTTTTACATTTCTGTGTGAATTTTAAGCAAGTAAATTTACTTAGTAATAGCTACATAATAATTGCTTGTGGTATTGTTATTTTACAAGAACTTATTTTGTAAGACTAAATAATAATTTAATACACTGTTTAATTGTGTTTCTGTTTTTTTTTTATTAATTTATCACATTTCAGAGATTATAATAATTTGTATATAAACAAAAAATGTAGAGTCTGTGAAATTTTTTTTTATTAACCTATTATTCAAAAATAGTACCTAAATAAGATAAACTTTATTTACAAATAATTAAAAAATATATATGAGCCTTAAGAATAACTTGTAATTAAAGATTTTGAAAATAGCCTCCTTCCAGAATCCAGTTGCACATCTTAAAATGATATTATCACATTCAGCTTCTGTTATCTCTACCTCATTATTTAATTCAAATGCGGGAGAAGCAGTCCAAAATACTTTATGTTCAGGTGAAATTATTCCGTTTACTGTGCAAATATCTTCATCTCTCAAGTTATTGATGGAAAATCCCATTATCTCCATATACTCGTTTGGCAGATCTAAAAATAATAAAATATTATTTAATGTAGTGATAATTTTTTAGTATTTTCAAGAGTACATTTTTATAATTTCCTATTTTTTTTTATTTTTAGTACTTTTCTATGTTATAAATTATTTCATAAAACACAAACATATTTATTAATGTAAATACTAGACATGTATATAATAGTTGTAACAGAAAGAGTTTATGTATATTTACAGTTATTCATACACAAAAATGTACTTAAATTACAATTAATACAATGACATGCAGCAAGTAGGTAATCCTCGGCCAATTAAAAACAGTATTACAGTATGAGATAATTTTCTAAAATGTATTAGCTCGTTTTATACAATAACAAATTGGCTTTTTCTCAGATAATACATAATAATTATACTTTTACTTCT